ATGTAAACTACTGAACTATATATTATCAACTCCAGTCTAATTTATTTTTGTCATAGATTTATAAACCTGAACTTTTTTAGGTTTTTCTTTATTAAATAGAGGCTTTTAAAAAATTTACTGTCTGAAATAACGTTAAACTATATTATTGTAAGGAATTAAAGAAAGTTTGGGGACTGTAGTCATTGCATAACATCCACTGATAATTAGCTAATTCCCTTAAAATGTGATTTGATCTTTTAATTTACAGATTTGAAAGATTCTTTTTGGTCTTATATTCATCCATCCATTTGGCACATATTTACTGAGCACCTACAAAGTTCTAAGCACTCTTCATATTCTGGGTACATACTAGTGAGCAAAACAGATATGATCCTTGCTTTTAAAGAGCAGCCCATGTAGTGGAGAATGGAAATCCAATAAATGAGCTTACAAATAACTTCAAATTGGATTAGAACTAAGAAAGAAAAGAACAGGAAACTTTAAGATAAAACAGCAAGGGAAATCTTATTTTATGGATGGTGGGGGGATGGGTAAGGAGCTGAGCCCAGAAGCATGAGGAAGTGTTGCAAAAGCAAAGAAGGAAAAAAAGGACACTTGGGCAGGGGGACCAGGATGTACAAGGGCACTCAGGTGGGCAAGAAGATGAAGTGTTCTAGAAACTGAAGGGGGTCCGTGGCTAAAGGGTAGTGAGAAAGGAGTGAAGGAGTATGAGAGAAAGCAGCAGCCTGCTGGGGTCAGGAAGCCTTAGACGACAATTGTCCTTCCTCAAGTCATTGAAAATGTTTCTGAGCTCCTACTTAAAGCCTTTCAAATGTCAGAGAATCCTTTTAACCCATATAATGTTGACAGAGTTGGCTTACTCCAAAAATCTGCTCAAGATCAAGTCATGTCCTGTTTCACTCTATGGGAGTTGGAGCAGAAAGGGAAGAAGCGAGGGACTCCCATCTGGGATTACACCCAGCTTGCTTTTGGAGGCTAATGTGATGGATATGATGAAAATATAAATAAAATATAAAATCACTTTCACATTTTGGTAGCTTTGGTGTCAGCTTTCCAGAGTAACTGTTTTCTTTCATGTCAGAAGTGCTTTCCCCAAGCTGTTTCAATATATTCAGGGAAAATGTCAGCTTACTTCCTATTGAAAGTAATTCAAAGTTCTTTTCAAACCAAACTTGCATTTTAAAAAAAAAAATGTTTTCAAAAAAAGCATTAAACTATATGAAGGCCTGATGATCTGCTTTTTAAAGGATAACTATTTTTTAGTTATATAAGAAAAGGCATGTATTTTATAAACTTTACTTCATTAATTTAAAGACCTGATAATATTCTTACCTTAAATATGTGAAAGATAGATGGTCTAGACAATCAAACTACTGCCTCTTTTTTTAATTTTAAACCACACTTAAATTATGTACAATGAAGTTTTTTTTTTAATTTCATTTTGTGAGAAAGTAAATTAGTGACAAGTTACAAGACAAGATTGTTCCATTTTTCAAACCAATTAGTTTGCAAAGACCAGCTTAAATTCCATCAGTGTATATTGCTTATAGCAGGTCAGGTGGAAAGGGAGCAGGTGGGTTTCTTTGCCTTGTCTAGCGGATTATTTACTCTGACATACCGTCAAAGAAATTTTAATCTAAAGGTACAATGACTGCCACAGTCCCATCCTTTTATACAAATAGAAGAAAGTTCTTGAAGTAAATTGAGTAATTCAGTTGTTTTAAGGGTAAACTTTCTTTTTCTTAATAACCATTTTTAAAGCTGCTCTTTCCCAAAGGGGAAGCATGAAAGCTCCCACTAAAAATGACATTAAGATGTTAATTACTATCATTTATGAATATTCGTTTATTATAATTAATGTAATGATTCCCAGAATATGTGCTTATTTGGGGGAACATTTACAAGGGATTTTGATGGAAAAATTAAACCAGTATCGTACTGAGAAAGGAAACGATGGTACAGTAAACCAAAACTGTACTAGTTAATATGTTTTCAAATTTAACTTCCTTTTTCTTTTCGGCCTACCCTTAATAGTTGTCATTTGGACTGAGCTGTTAGAATTTGGAAGCCTAAGGAAGAATGTGGAATCATCTGAAAACAGAACCAGGAATCCTTCTGCCCTCTTAGATTTGCTCCAGAATTCTAGGATGGTGTTTTCCTATGTCATAGATGTAGTGACATAATTGCTCATAGAATTTGGAAGCCTAAGGAAGAATGTGGAATCATCTGAAAACAGAACCAGGAATCCTTCTACCCTCTTAGATTTGCTCCAGAATTCTAGGATGGTGTTTTCCTATGTCATAGATGTAGTGACATAATTGCTCATCTGAAAGCAGTTTTCCCTCCATCTCATTCTGGGGCAGCAATAACAGCCAACAAACTGAAGAGTCCTCAGTCAAAAGCTTGCAGAATGGAAAGGGCTTAGAAATGGTCGAAAACCATGCAAGTGGAGCCAGCTACCTTCAGCCATAGGCTGTGGGACAACAGCTGTGTTACCACAACAAGCAAAGATCACTGAGTCATGAGTTCCCTGAGAATGTGGCCTCTTGGAAAAGCAATTGCTCATTTGTACAAGAAAGGACTGACACACCAAGGCTGAGTTTTGTGTGGCAAACCTTACAGTAACCCAATATAAACTTTCAAGTGCTTTTTAAAAAACAAGTTTGAATGAAAGCAAACTAGGGAAAATTTATTCCTCCATTGAAGGTAAACTTCATTTTTGAAGATTATAATTATGCAAAAGAACTATGTAAAAGCCTAAGGTCCATAAGGTTACCCGTCCTTTAATATATCACATTATTAAATAAAATAGAATATTTTGTGGCAAAAGCAGAGTCCCCCAAAGCATGCCTACTTAAAGTAAAAGGATGCCTGCATTCAATCCTGACTTTAAACAGAAAAACTAACTCATACAAAATGAATTTAATTTTTCATAAATCTCTCAACTCCAACTTTGATGTGTCAAATGAAGGGAGGGAACAGAGGTGCTTGACAACTTATCTGAGTACACTGAAGACACAGATGCTAACATGAATGGAGTGGAACAGTGAGTTCATCACTTTCAGATATTTCCCCTTTAATCCTCCCAGCAACCCACAAAGATAGATGATATTCATTCCCACTTTTTTGACAAGGATGTCAGGGCTTATGTCTGGATAAGTGGCTTATCCAGAATTTACGTCCAAATCAAATCCTGTAGCCACAGTGGCATTACATCTCTAAATCTGTCTCCTCTCAAGGTTCTTACTGTGAGACTGAGGAAGTAAATTATCTTCAAATGAAAGTTCTTTTTTTTTCCTATACTAATTTCCTTTTTTAAAACCATTCCCAAATAAACATTTCATTTATTTATAATATCTTTTAATAATTATTATGTATCCCACCTCCATTGAGTGTGATCCAAAAACACCCACTATACACAACTCCATCACAAATGAAGATCTAATATGTCTTCTGTCATTATTGTTGGAACCAAGTGGACTTAGTCCAAACCGAGTTTGGACTCAGCTGGCTATGATCCTCTCTAAGTATAGCTTCCCTGGCATATCTCTAGAGCTTGTAACATAAGTGGGCTTTAGGCTCACAGGCCCTAAATGGAGACTTGGAGTACATACAGCTCATAGTACCAAGAGAGGACTGGACTTTGCCAGACACTCTTTTTGAAGTTGCCTTGGCTCAAGGCCAAACAAATACCACAGAGAAGCTACTTTTTCAAGGGAGCCCTTAAAGTTTTTATTGTTGTTTTTGTT